GCAACTGTACTAGTGTAGTATTCAGGGTGGTGGTGTTGGTTTGCGTTGGAGTTCGGCGGAGAGGCCTATGCTATGTTTGTTCCTATCGAAGCTATTTTGGTCCCCAGCATCCACTCAACGACATCTGCAAGCGTTTCGTGCTTCAGGGACAGTGCAATTTCGATTTTAACTAGTGCGACAGTATTACACTTCGCACAGAGCCGAAATTAGTCAGGCATATACCTGATTAGCCGGCACTCGCTTGGTTTTATTTTCCCGCCTTTTGTGTGAAAAAGGTTTGGCAATTTCCATAGGAAACCCCTAGTTTAACTATCTTATTACACTTTCCACAGGCGCTTTTAGACACTGTGGCTCGGTTTGTAGTGGCCAGGAGAGCAGGTGAACGTGTGCAGCTTGGTTATTTGTACTCATCAGGGCACGTGAACGTGTGACGGTTCGTCGTACCCATGACCCTGGATTGATTGCTCGGTCGTCAAGGTCAGCCCGCCGAGACAGTGGCTGTCCCAATGCCTCAGTCACACTTGAGGCCGCGCGCAGATAGCAGGATTCAGTGGTGCATACATAGGCAAACGAAGACACAGCTTGGAGTGATGGGGTCGCGTTACAGGACGATGCAGGTGGGGCTTTGACAGGCTACCTTAAGTGTCCCGGACGCGATATTTAGTGAGTAAATGACGCGAAATGTCACAACTTCGTTATGCTGCCACTTATATGGATGATTGCAAGATCGTTTTAGAGTCCTTAGCTGCTTCTACCGAATGAGACTAAAGTTATTATCGAAGAGCTTAGGAGTGATATGATTTCACACGCAGAACTGGACGAAGAATGTGCCGAAACTGTGAACAGGAGTTACAGTATGATCCACACAAGTTAGATCCAAGCGATGGAAAGCACTTCGTTGCCCTCGTCGAACTGGTTTGAACGAGCACACGCACAAGTATGGGTGTGTATAACTGGAATCAACACAGAGAGTGAAGCAAGAGCTGTGATTAAGTGCGGACGTGCGGCAAGTGTGCACTGAAGCTGCATCATCTCCTGACTGAAGGGTCAGCTGAATTATTTGTGGCCCACCGCAGTGCGCGGAGCTTAGATGACGGACGCGGCGTATCATAATAAAATGCTTTGCTTAGGCCCCATCTAATTGACAGCTGGCATCCCACCATTTCTCTTCCGCTAGTAACGCGTTTGACGGGGTACGTCTCGGGTCCAGATACATTCTTGCACATTTGCTGTATCTAATATTTATGAAACCATGGAGATAACATCTATTCTTCAGTTGAGTCGTCGTCGTACAAAAATCTTGTAGTTCTGCAAGTATAACGCAATTGTACTGTGCATACCAGCCAGTGTACACTCGACAGCAAAGCAAAATGTGTAACGTATTTCATAGGTACCTAATGACATTCAGTATGACGTTCAGTATTGACAGTTCAGTATTAATAAATTGTTACAAGGTCCAATCACACAGCCGTTGAAGCAACATAGTTGTTAGCATTTATTTCTATGACACTGATAGCCGAGATTCCGGAGTGTTCAGCATGGCGTCAGCAACGTCTTAATCTAAATAGGATTTGCCACATCTCTCTTCGACGATGGAGACAAACAAGCACTTGCTCGTGGAACAAAATCTTTGGAGTGGGACGGTCTTGTTAATTGTCCTTTATTCCCATAACTTACATAGAAGACTCATGGAAAACTGTACACTTACACAGGAATATCACGTTTCGGATATTGCCACCTATTCTCTTTTTTCGCTTGTGTGCACTTTCCCTCTGTCGAGTGATGAAATTTCGCCCTGTGGCCACTCGATAGGCAGAGAAGATCAGTGGCAAGTAACATTTGACTCAACCGTCACGGCAGACGCAGACAATTGTAGGGTATCTTAAGAGCAACATCATCATGTCGGAGCAGTAAGGATTTCTGTGAATTTACTCTTACCTCAAGCATTTTGCTTCTATCCAAAGAAAGCTGGATTCAGCCTGTTGACACTAGAGTAGAATTTGCTGTCATGTACCTGAATTCTCCGAAAACGTTCGACCTCCTGAACTGCCGCATTCTCCTTCACAACTTTCGAAGACATGAAATCGCTCATCCTGTCAGGGTTAGATATGCAATTTCTTCATGCAATCTCCGAAGAATATGATAAATCGAATCTCTCTTTCCAGTAGGATTGTGGTCCAGTATACCATAACCCGAAATTCATACTCTCAGTACTTTCTAGTCCTGTTTATCCTAAGCGATCTTGCTAACCATATTTCCAACCAACTGCATACGATCTCAGGAACTGGTAGCTTACATAGACAGTGGACAATCACATGGCAATGCAAGATGACTTAAATAAGCGTAAAGCTGTTCTTTCAGAAATCTGCTCAAGTTCAAGGTAGTCAGATTTATGGTTTGCACTTAAGCTACCATCTCACCCAAAGGGTGGACGTAGGTCACAGGAACTGCAATGTCCTTCCCAGGAAGGCGATCATGAAGGAATTATACGGAATTTGCTTGGATGGCTGAGAAGAACCAGTCAGCTGTTTGATGTCTTGTGTGGGAGTGGGTACTGACAAGAATTTCGGGAAATGCTGAGCACTTGCATGAGGCCTCAAATCAAATATGCCACCGAAGGTTGTTGTCCCTGGCGAAAACAGGCTGTTGATGCGCTTGAAGCTTCACAGCGCACGATGACGAAAACGTTAGAGATCTTTTCACCGCCTTCCAACTTAGACTGAAAGCGCCTGGAGTGTACATTGGTGTGTAGTGCTGCATGTAAGTACGGCCAATATGACTTGCTAAATGCTGATGAAAGCAGACCACGCCTGCTATGATCGCTTGCAACTCAGCCACAATAAAATCTTAGATACCACTAGATGAAAATGTCGAAGCACTGAAGTTAGCTACATTCCAGTCCTAACCTTTTCTCTCCCGAATACCACTGACATAACATATTTTTCCACCTCAAGTAATTACTGCCCATGCATTGCTTTCTCAAAAGACGACTTGATAAAACCCCATCGCAAATGACTGATTTGAGGGTATTTTAGAACACTTTTTGTGTAGGTTGCGATGAGCATTCTTTAAATAGACGACGATTTGCGTTGAGGTGATCCTTAGTCAAACCGGTCACTGGAACCGCAACCGATGAAGTTGATGAATATTAGATGTTGCCCGTCTGAAAACGTTGTGCTCCGCGACGCCTTTCGATCTTATTTGATCTCACTAGGTCGAGGTAGCAGGCATCGAATTCATGACCATTGGAATGTTGGCCAAAACCACAACCAGTAAGCCACCGAAGGAAGACGAGTGAGACTTGGCACAACGCTCAGTGTTCTGTGGTAAACAACAACTAATATCCAACCACTTTATCAGTTACGGTCCGAATGACCGAATTGACCATGATTCCCTTCAAAGCGGATTTCGGTCCACATTGAAATTGTACGTCCCAATCTATTCGCACAAATGTGCTTCAAAATGACCCCACCAGACAGTCATTAAGCTTTGTACCAAGCTTGTCTTGACTCGGTGGCTAAAGGAGTAGATTTTCCGGCATCCTGATGGGACAAAGCTGGCTTGGCACGCGTAGTGGGGTGAAGTTTTTCCGGGTGGACAGTAGCCAATAGTCAACTTGTAAGGCATAAGCATTATGTTTTATAAACCGTTTCAAATGATAAAAAACTGACTAGAACCAGTGTGCACATCAGCGCTCTCCATAAATCAGCGGTAACCGTAACCTGAAGCTGCTCTTGTATGATTCGCTTGATCAGTCCGTTGGAATCATTTTGCTTTTGTTCCTGTATTGCTTGCTCTGGCTACTCTGCGGAATTTATCATGGTTTTGTTTTCCACACATGATTAAGCACGGCCTATTTTGCATTAAGAAAAGCTACGGAAATAAGCAGTATATTTCATTAGAAAGCAAGGTTTGTTTAGTTTAATTTGCCCTAGTGAAATGCGCCTATGTATTCACGATATAATACTGGAACTTTAAATCGTACAGGCTAAACTAACTATATCATTTGGTAACGTTCTTTCGACGTGACCTTCCAGACTTTCCGCGGTAAGTTTCAGATGAAAGGGGAAGTAAGTATTTTACTGAATGCCTCAAGAATACTATGCTTTGCATGGACACAATATGATGGCAGTTTAAGATTACGGGAATGCGTGACCGCTTGCGAGCTAGTGAACACCCTTTTCTTTGCACCTACATGCCGTGCCACACAGCTTTGCGGTAAACAAAGCGCCATTCTTGAACTTATTTATTAAGTCATTGTATATACCTGTTGCGTAATAAACCAGCGGGTGCACCGGAGTTGTGTTTGCGAGATTTTAAACCGTATATATACTTAATGAAGCCCAACTATACTTGTAAAGCTGAGCATTCTGCAGTTGTACCTTCAAAAAAGCTTCATCCTCTTCGGGGGTTAACCGAATCGGAATCTGACCTTGGATAGTCCATTGCCAGTTTTGACAAAGATAGCCCTTTAGCACTTACATTGTGAAAGGTGATGTCAAACTTCGGCATCCCGTGCTAACTATATTTTCGATCAAACCAAAAATGTGAAATATATACTGAAACAAGTTGGTGGAAAGCACCTCAAAGATTGTCACATTACCGCGTAGCTCCTCGCCCGCTGTTCCTTCTGAATGTGAAACCGAAACAGTTAAAAGAAGAAGCTTCTGTTCCAAGCCTCAGAAGAGTAATTGACGGGTTGCTTTGCTAACAACTCTTCTCTATGCAGTGTCCTAAACTTGGGTTTTTCATCGCCTGAAGCGTTGTTGGTATGTAATTTTTAGTTTCAGGCTTACACCTCGGATTATTTCCTGATCAATTTGAGTAGTCATGATAAGTACTAACCATGGTTTTTATTTCCTCATTGGTTGACAAGCTTGCTGGCAGTAAGATGGGTGAAAGTGTGCACCACACCAAACAGAAGATAGTACACAGTTTAACCCTTAACTACGATACAAATCAAAGAAATGTGCAAATAAGCTAAAACCATCGGAAACTTTTTACAGAAGGAGAGTGCATGTTATTAGAAGCCATCTGATGGTGCAAATGATATCAAATAATAATGCTCCGTTAGTTTGTAACTGCTGCGCAAAAGCGCTTGATCTCACTGTGAGCCTTGTATCATTTGCTTTCAGTAGAAACGTCGGTTTTGGACCGTCTCGAGTTGTCGCCAACTGATGAGCTTGAAAGCGACCTGTGAATCGTGGAGGTTGAAAAGCGAGTTCTGCTGGAAGTGAAACAAAACTGACAGCTTTACGATTTGTACTTTTCCACAAGCATCAAACGGAGCGACATACAGTTGAAAAACTGAGATTCTCTCTATTGTATGTATTCCATACGCTGAGTAGTCTCTTGAGTACGAGGTGTCGATTGCATTATGATCAATTATGATACTATTTGTTTACTCTTGGTAAACTACTTAATCGACACAAGACTAATGATCATGAATGTATGTGAGTAATTCACCTTTCTATCACTGATTAGATACCAGTGAGAGTTCTTCAAGTGAACCACTCCCCTCCTTACTGAATAACAGCAGTTTAAGCCACCAACGATAAGAGTTATTTGAGCAAATCCTACTCTGTGCCAACGCTGTATTCAAATTTAATTATCATACTTGGTTCCCTGTGGACCCCACAACTTGTTGAACGACCAGTACAGGACAAATATCGACAACAAAACAACGGTCATTTCCGGAGTTGGGTAGCTTGGCCGAAGTCCAGATCCGATTACCTAATGCCTTTGATTCAGTCACGGATACAATCAGGTGTCCTACACCAAATCGGAAGACTTCCCCTAGCCATTCAGTCAAAATGACCGCGAGGAAGAAAACCTGCACAAGAACGGGCGAAGAATTGCAACCAATCAGTGTAGACACAGTAACTTTCTATGCATTTAACACAATCTAATTCCCGCAACTGATCTAGTAGATCAGTGAGGTTACATTGTTCAAGCTATTTCGCCACATTCCGCGCATACTTTCTGCGGGGCATTAGCCACAACTCTAGTCGTCCGATGTAGGTAAAGGGGCCGAACACAACTTAAGTCAAACGCCACCTTAGCTTGCAAGTCGCTTATAGTATCAAGCGAATACGTTGCTTCACGTAGTTTACAAATGATATCTATTTCAAAAGGTACAAACAATTTTAATGAATGCCGTATATCTGATGTGGCAGGGTCCTACTTTCAACAGTCTGTCGGTGGACAACCTGCGTCGCAGTGGCAAGGGAGAGGGACATTTAAAGCAAATCTGCTTCGTTATAAGCTCGCAAGTTGGAGCGACACCTAGTTATTACCCGTTGAAACTTACGTTTTGCTTCTAGCCACGTATAACCTTCGCCGACTCCGGAAGCCGTTTCCATTCGACATGTGTATAAACCCAAATCAGAATGTGTGATATTTGTTACCAACAATTGTGCATTCAGTGTTTGCTGCAAGTCTATTTCGGATGGTGGCCGAAAATTCGAAAGTGGCGCCTGCTGCCGCAGCTTAACGAGAGCTATTCCGCCCTCACCATCAGTGTTGTGCAATTCTGCAGTAGAAGAGAAAATGAAGCCTTTAGTTAAAGATGTGTTTGTAGTTCAGAAAAGAGTGAAAGTCCAAATGACTGAAAGTGATCACCCCAGTGTTTAACGTGTCAATTTTGACCCGAATTGTTTGTTAATTGTTATACTGAACACACCGATGACTCCGGAGAACTCACCGCATCGAAATTGTCCCTAGAATATGGTGGATGTAGTCCTTTTAGATGTTCCGAGAATAACCCCATAAGTGAAATTCCGAAAATTATTCGCGGCCCTTTTATCTTATCACAATCAACGAATGGGTTTTGGGAAGCGGCAGAAACATTTACTGACAATGCTCCATATATGCAGTGGCAAGTCTTTCACTTTTTCGCATGGCGCTTTCAGCAACATCGTCTACGTTTATTCCATTGATCACGTGAAATGTGTGAGCCAACACATGGGTAGAGTGTTCATCTTATATTTGCAACCGATTGTATTAGAACCTGACAGCTGCTTGGTTCTTGGACATAGTTAATGAATTATCCAGAATGAAGATACCTGGAAAGGTATCCTTCGTGTGGTTGCAAATTGTCTATAGAAGACGAAGAAATTTGTTATTTGCCTATTTAGGTGTCCACGTCAGTCGACTTCGATGTTTGCGTCGGTTGGTTTCTTCCGACTGCCGGGCTCGGGTCCGAAGAATAGTGTTATTTAGTATCCCATTAACTTTGTCGTTTTTGTATTCTTTATCTTATTTGTATTGCGCTACGATACCACTGATATATGCCCAACATAATTGACAATACTCGATTAAACCCACAATAGTTGAAGTAGTTCTAACCATTGCTGCTCGTGTGATAATTCGCTAGAGGTTCCCATGTACTCAGCCCTTTCTACGAATGGCATACACACAGCATTATTTCCCATGATCACCAAAAGCGCTGCATCCCACTTGAACAGACTGGCCTAAATTACGTTGGTATCAATCTACAGTGAAATGTTTCTATCGCACAACAGGTGTAATTTACCCACGGAATACCGGTCCTCTTGTAACGCGATATCTGTAACTTGCACGAGTTCTCCTAAGAGGCGGACTGATGTAGGTGAAAAGCTTTTGAACTGTCGAGAAACCTTTTCTGGCGCAATCAATTGTCGTACGCACTGAGTACATTAAAACTCCTCTATGTCACAGTGAAAAGGCTATGTAATGATAGTGTTTTGGTAAGGGTATCGTGCTGTTGAACTGACGAACAGTCACCAGTTTCATCGCAGTTATTTAAGACATCCCATTTCGAACTATCCTCTATAGTCTAAGCACGACTGTGCTTACAGCCCGACGACATGCCGTCATGCTATTACCCAACTAATGGATGGCATGACATTCGAAAAAGGTTGGCGTGTTCAACCAAACTTAAATGCAAACCTTAGTGGTATCCCCAGAAAATTAATCAATAGCTTCTTCTGCTAAAGTTAATCATGCCTGCATACGGATCAGTTAGGTGAAGACTAAAGTTGCAATCCAAAGGACATTCGAACAACAAGAGAAAATCAATAGGATATACAGACAACGTGCCTGAGGCAATGACACAACGGAAGTTTACCGGGGGCGGGGAGGTCGTGTTTTGTCAGTGGGACGTATTCCAGTGTGGCCGACTGATGTCGCACATGAGTATACGCAAATCGGCCGACATCGATATTTATCACATCCCTCGGGAAGCACGCGACAGAAAGAAAATTTAGTGTATCACCTACTTACAAGCAAGGAACCGCTTATAGAACAGCAAAGCTACATAGTCAGAAATAGAATGTTGTCACTTAAACCAAGTGAGTGAACCGTCTGCAGCATATTGGTCATCTGGTGTTCCGATTGTTTGGGTCATCTGAGTGAGTAGCTGCATTAGGATTTATAACGAGGCTCACAACCTCAAGTGCCATCAAGTCCGGGACCCGTCGCGACATTTTCCTTATAACGCTTTCTTGATTCGGGATCTGGTTTGTAGGTGAAACGTTCCTCTTTATGAACATCACCACTCATTAGAAACTGTGTGATGAACAGTACCCAAACAGATTTGGAAAACAGAAACGAATTTTGTCTTAACCACTCGAATTGTTTATTAGCATTCCTGCCACAGACACTTGGTGTGCGCTTCATTTCAATTTCACATCAACTACGATCACGACCTTGTGGAGGGAAGAGACAAGCAACACGCGCAGTTTTACCGAGTCTGACAGTCGTGCGTGCAGACCGCATCCGGACGGATAACTTGAGGTGGTTAACCGCGGTGTATTTGTCATGTGGAACTATAATAATTCTACATGTTAGCTGAACGGTACCTCTTTTGGTGCCATGTACTATTAAACTTGCTACTTTTCTGTGTAATTGGTCACTGCCAAGGTAGAACTTGGCGTGGTATGCAACAATTCCTGGTGATTAGAAGCGCATCAACAAATTTGATCAGAAAACACAGTGGAATTACTGTTGTTTCCGAAATGTGAACGCTGGGCCCAGCGGACTCAGTACTGTTCGGTTTGGAGCAGACAACCCCTCATCGAATTCAGGGAGGAACAGACTAGTCGAAAATCAGCTGCCTGGACATTATTGGCGATTATTATTTAGCTCACGCTTCCGGCGCGTATGCTAACAGTGTCACTACCACTTCTACTGGTTTTTTAGATGCCATGGCAAATACTGTTACTAATACCACCATGAAATTAGGGCTAAAAATGTATGCAAGCACGGCGCCAGAACGAATAACTCGTTAATCGCGTCGCCGCAACATTACGCTCCATCCACACTTGTTTGTGGTCTTCGCAAACACCTAGGCTTAGCCGTAAAATTTTCGCAAATAGTCGACAACAACTGGGTGAGAACATAATACCCTAAACAGATTAAGTATTACCTTTTGTCATACCATATATATCTTTGGCTTAATAAATACATTAAGTTAAGCGGGAAAGCGGAGCTCAACTCTCATTGTGCTTCTGTTTCATGTACAGCCACAGGACGCTAGTAAATTTATCGGATTCATGGTAACCGATAGACTTGTGCATTCTTTTTCAACTTCCATGGTCAATGAATGATTCAGGCTCCAAGTCAACAATGGTTCAGTCAGTCAGGTCTAGTTAAAGCAAGGATGTACTTTATGCAACAATAGAGGGTGTATATTCAGCTCGAACACACATGATACGGACAGGGATAACAAATGGTGGCAAATATTATGTGAGGATAGATTTAAAACCATGGTCATAGCAATTATTTGACAGATTTACTCTCAGTGGAGGAACATAGTTACCAGTTCATGCGTCACTGAATTTTTATCGTGCAAAAGTAGTGACAGGCAAGGAACTACTGATGCAGACTCAGCTCTGTTTGGTCAGGGAAGTTGATGCACATTTGGAAAACGCCTGTGGAGGAGGTAGCTAACATCAGCGAGTATTTTATTTATACTCTTGTTCCAAAATTTGTAGATACTGGATACAATGATGTTAACAAGTCCCGGCCTTGAAATGCCACTACAGTGGGATGGATGCTTTACCGATTTGCTGATTACTTTTAGGCCCTTATTCAAGAGACGAAGAAAGATCACGGGAGATTAATAGGTCCAGTAGGGTAATATACATGCAGTGATACAAAATTGGATCGAAAAACGGGGTTTGGCAGAAGTCGTGAGACGTCCACGATGGAATGACAGTTTGCCAACCTCGTTTACATGAAGAGACCACATTAGCCTACTGGTTAGTGTTACTCCGAGCTATAGTACTGGCGGGTGTAGGAAACCAACTATTTACCAATGACATGAGTAATCAGTCAATAATATATTTTTCATAAGCATGGTTGGCCACTTACTGATTGTGTTAATGTACACGTTTACTCACTTTGGCAAAATTTGATGTGCATGATTTTCCCCACCTCACAAGACGGTGTGTGAATTGGAACTCCGTTCAGATACCACTCGACAACACCCAGTGGATAAGCTTCAACTATACATCCAATTACGCTGCTTTCGCCCAAATTCTGTTGTATTTTTCTTTTTGATATCCGAACTTCAGGTCGATCTGGTAGAGGATATTTCAAATATGTTGAGGAATGGTGCATTTTCAACGTATTACACTGGAAGTAAATGTTAATTTTATTACAACTTACATCTGACATAAAGGCGAGATTCACTGATGGCAGGCGGTGGAATATCGTTGCGGGCCTCACAAAAATACCACCCAGACATATGTCGTCGAAGTAAGGAGATTACGAGGAGTCCGCCACGTACAAATAAATCTGAAAAAATAAGCAACCGAAGGGAATGAGTGCTCCTGTTCTGTGAAATCAGCCGTTGCTTACTCGTATTCTCGTACGTTTAACTGCGTTCATTAGTTGCATTTATCATCATACTACTAATTAGTAGGAGCACGGAAGTAAAAGTTGCATTTTTTTTCCGAACGCTTATCGTCGCAGACAGTCTATGGTTTACTGGAGACTCAAGCATATCACACCGTTGGATCGCTTCACTAAATCAGCGTAACTTTGCGATATCTCCGGTAACAGATTTGTTGACACATAAAAGTCTTGAATACCCAGTGAGCAGCAATAACCGGAACCTGAATTTGTACCGCCATTTTAGTTAGTATCAACATACAGTAGGCTTATGTAAGTTGATGATGTTTCCTGATTATGTTAAACAAATGTAATTACAAGTGGATTGGTTAAGGTTAGCATCAACAGCAAGGGGGTCAAGATCTTGCTGGTTCTTTTAAGTGTTATCTCTATAGCTGGTATGCATTTTTGACTAGTTGTATTAAAAAGCACCCAGTACCATTCCTATTCAGGAGGATCAAACGTCGTGTGCAATTTTCAATATCTACTCGTATGAACTAGTGTGATGAGAGTTTCAGCGAAAAGAAGTTTGCTCAATACCCGCTTTCGGCCTTGATTTCTAAAGTACAACTTTTCTAATGTACTCTAAGTTACTCGTGTCTGAACGATTTCCAAACGCGGCTAACATTTGTTGATAAGAAGCTTAAAGGACCGCAGGGCAGCACACTTTCATAAAAGTGTTCAGGTAGACAAGTACAAATAACAAACTTATATGTGCCTCTGATAACAGACAACAGGCTAAACGCCATCGCCAGGACTACAACTGCGGAGCTGCTGGGTTTATCCAACCACGTAAAAATGCGCATCATAGACCACAAGATGACCGGATAAATCAATTTCACCTGGTGTTTGTTATCTACAAGGGACACATAGTAAACTAGTGCTTAACTAAGAGCACAAAACTCTAAGAATCGTGCTTGCATAGAATAGGAATTAGAAGACAGTGCACATAACGATGTGGGGAGTAAGTACAGTTCGCATTTTCCCCGGAGATAATAAAGACATCTACTCGAAATATCCACGCGATATAAGAATCCAGTACAGATACAACATATAAATATTCCACAGTCGCTCAGTTTAGGCAAAGAAGCGCTCGACTGCTTAGAGTAATATCCAATAATACTATGATGCGATTCAGGATAGGGGAAGCAACAACCGCTTTCGGGAGAATTCTAAGTTTGACAAACGCCAACCGGCAGGTTAATCCGTCGGTATTCTGAACAGGTCTTCACTGACTTTCAGGTGATTACATCTGAGGATGGTATTGCAGCTGAGTTGTAGTAAATGGATTCACTCTTGATCGGAGTCAGTCAATCGTTGACACACCAATATGAGATCACCGCGAAACCATCGGTAGTGTCTGCAGAAAACTCCCAGTAGCTTCAGTCTTGGTTACCAAGAGGCTAGGCAGACGCTTGATGTTCTTTGTTGCCCTGCTTCTTGCTGGCTCTTGCTTCTCGAAATCACGCTTCAACCAGGGTTGTTAACCTAAGCTAATCTATTCGGCTTGAGAGCGCGCGGAAGAGTTCTACATCCTTGGGTATAATGACGGGCCAGAGCTCCCAAAATCCCTCTGCAACAAACCACAGTGCCGTTTGCTTCTTTTCGAATCAGCCTTAGACTGGTTTGTAAAGGTCATTCCGCAAGCTCACGCGAAGGTGGCGATCACGGGAGCTGAGCAGTGCATGATGATCATGGACAACGCCAGGATCACATGTCAGGCGACTTAAGGAGGATTTTGGGCTCGTCTTATCAGCTGTAGTTCCGGCTGCTCTACTCGTACATGCTAATCCCAGTCGAAAACATGCCTTCGGTAGTAGAAGCGTCGGCGTGGTGCCTGCTGACTTGCTCGACGACTGACCAGACGCTATGTATCGTCATTCAAGTGACCACTGGAATGGTAACATAACAGGACCACATTAACTTCCCTTCAATATGATGGTGAGCCTGAAAAAGGCAGCAGTCGGACAGCCCTTTGTTAAGTGATGGTGGTTAAGGATATTGCTTTCTCTCTTGTTAACACACCATTTCCATTTTAAAGTGAATGTCATTCGTAACAAACTGCAGGGTTTTGAACGTAGGAGCTGTCGAAAGCGTAGGTTTGTCAGGTTGATATCGTAGTCACACTGTTGACGCGATCTAGCTCATAATGGCACTTCTTGAATGTAAGCTTTATCCTTTTGATGGCGTCGAAGACCATATGTATGTAACATTTCATCGCAACGTTTAAAGCGCAATTCACTTCCAATGTGGTGTTTGGCAGAAGAGATCATGTGTTCACTAGATATGTGCCATTGTTCCTTATCCATAGCCGGCCCCAAGGCAAATCGGGACATAGATTCCTTGGTGCTGAATCGGCTCACATCAGACGTTAATACTATGACAACGAATTACTTCATCTACCCTTATAGTTCTATCGCTCCAAATACACCACAAGCCGGAAAACTAATTTCAGTTAGTTAGCTCACAGTTTAATCAGATATCTGTAGTCATGGTAAGCTCTTACGACTGTTAGACCTGACACCATCTGAGTTCAGCCAACTTCTTAAGTATGCCTTCGGCTTTAGTGTACAAATATGATAAAGTTTTGAGCATTAGAAGTGGTGTGCAGATATGTAATGCAAATGAAACTTAGGACCGGCCCTATGCTAGTCGGCAGCTAATTGTATTTGAGAGATCAGTTCAGCTAAGTTCAATTGAACAACTATGATCCGAGCACCGAAATTTGGTGGATCCAGTTGCCACGATTCCCATCGCAATAATAACAGTAAATGACAAGGTCATTTTACGTGGTATATCGCTGCGTGGGAACGATAGAACCGGAAGGGGTGGAGTATTTTTATATGACGATGTGAACCTGCGATATGAACTTATCGATCATCCAGAAATCAGCGCCCCTGATTTGCTTTGGTGCCGGAAATAGTTATGGAACAAACACACGTGCCACTTGGCCGTAATTTGCCGTTCACCAAACCCTACGTATAAAAGAGATACAAAACTAGACCACTTCCTACATGTTGCTTTGAAAAAGTCATACCGTCACATTCTCCTCGCAGGCGGCTTATTGTGCACGATCTAGAAATAGTGCCAACAGATGGCACACAGTGTCAAGCCTGTTTGCTATAGCCATTTTCCAGCCACAATCTTTACAACCACGTTACTACTCCCGCTACATTCCGAAATGCTAACATGCCCTCTATACTTGATCTTATGATCATCAATGAAGAACTTACGGTTGATAGAAAAGTTGCAAGCGAACCATCTAGTATTAGTGACTATGGTACTCTATTGTTTGAGTACGTGTCGGTTGCGGAACAACTTTACGAAGAGGATGATCGAGTTTGTATTGTCACTCACTAAGTTCTGTCCACGCTTGACAGGGAGACATCCTGGACCTTCTTAACTGATTAATCCTAAGAAATCGCCTAATAAACGTTCACAAAGATATTTAGCAACCTGTTAGTATGTATGGCAGAAGAGAACTCCTTCCATTGTCAAAGAAACAAGTCATTTATAGGGAGCAGAATACATAAATGCATGTCTTTGAGCAACTCAGCATGTATAGCTCACAAGGACTCTTCGAATTACAAAACATAGATTGCTTACGTGGCACAGTGCAACTTGTGCGTGAAATTGACCCGTGAAGACAAGAAGCTGTAGCAACAGGAGTTAATGAAGCGATTCCGTACAAACCGTAAGCTCTTATACAGATATCTTAATGGACTAGGTAAGCTGCATAGCGGAGTTTCAGCACAAGTCGCAACTGACGAGTACACGCGATCAGCAATGGAAAAAATCCCTCTCTTACGGTTCCATTACTCACATACGTTCCAGAGGGTAGTGAGCCCAATGAACATCCCCGTTTCTATTGTTCTAGCGTCAGGTTTACCCAATATCAATTTTGCTGCAGAGGCTGTGTTAGAGAAGTTGTTACGCCTGCGTATCCACAGCTCTCCTTGTATCGATCACCTTTAACCGAAAACTTCACGGGCAGCATGCAGGGATCTAGCGGAACCTCTGGCTATTATCTGTCAGCGCTGTCTTAAGGACAACCAAATTCCAGAAATATTAAAGCGTGCGGTCATCGCTATTATTTGAATGAAAAAGTATTAGCACTGACCTAACCAATTACCGTCCGATAACGCGGCTTCTTGTGCTTTCCAACATTACGAAATCAATCATCGCGGATACACTGATACGATAGCTAGAAAATCACAGCCTTGGACAAAGTTGTCTTTTGCCAAAACCGCTCATGTACTACGAACCGGTCAAGTATACGCAATACGTGATCTGGAGCAATTGATGCTGGAGTAGGAGATCATGTCATCTAACTGGCCTTCTCAAATGCGATTGATCCCTCAGCCTAGCAATTTCTCCGCTATAAGCTTCATATTAACGGCATTGGTGACCCACTCATGCGTCCGATTGTTACTTTCCTTTACGAACGTCATCTGGAGGTGCGAGTACGGGAATCCCTGTCCGACGCAATTGCGATGAAATGCAGTGTACTGCAAGGCACATTGCTAGCGCCTCGCCTATTCTTGGCTTTCATCAACCATCCAGCATGGGCAAACATTTCTGAATGTAACATTTTGCTGATATAAAGAGATGGAAGGAAATCAGCGGAATGGACCTCCATGAATAGCTCCAGCGCGACCTTGAAATGATTTCGAATTGGTCAATACAAAATGCCGTCCCATTCAATGTAGAAAAACGTCGTGTAGTTTATTTACATCATAGACATAACTACATGTATTGGCTTGGGTCACACATTGCAAACCATTTCCAAGGAATGCAACATTGGTGTGTTCGTTTAAAGAGACTTTAGCCTTTCAAAATAAGCTGAGGCAGCTTCGAAAAGTGGCAGCCAACACATCGGCATGCTGCGAAGCGTAATCCGGAGA